ATGGATGATGTATGAATGTATGGATGATGTATGAATGCATGGATGATGTATGAATGTATGGATGAGGACATAAAGGGAAAAGAAGAGCCTTTAATGGATGCATGAAGGTACTAAGGACAAAGTTTTCCATCCTAAAAATCCTGTTACATCACTGAGAGCAGCAACCATCTCTTGCTCCTGAACATCCCTTCTGGGTCATTTATCACATGATCATTCAGATTGTAAGTACCAGAGCAGCATGAACATGTGAAGAAGATACCTACCTATATATGAAAATATTAGTCTCATGACACAAGTTTTACATGTTTTAAGTATGTTGTTGTTGCTGCTGCTGCTGCGTCATCGAGTTGGTTGCAACTCATTGTAACCATGTTTAGAGTTTCAAGAGCAGCTGGTGGGTTTGAACTGCTGACCTTGAGGTTAGCAGCCCCATGCTTATCTTACAGCGCCACACCAGAACTTGAATATATATGTATAGATAGTATATATTTTTCCGGAGTGGTGGTCATGGTGATGTGCTGTAGAGTTTGTTCTGACTCATAGTGACCCTGTAGAAGATTTCTAAGGCTGTAAATTATTATGGGAGCAGAAAGTCTCATCTTTCTCCTGCTGAACTGCTGGTAGTTTCAAACTTCTGACCATGAGATTAGCAGCCTAACTCATAACCACTATGCTACCACAGCTCCTTATTTTTCTGGAATAATGCACCAAAAATAAGTATATAAACAAACCAACCAGTTGCTGTGGTGTCATTTCTGACTCATAATGATCCCGACCCATGACTACCCCATGTGTGTCAGAGTAGAACTCTACTCCAAAATGACTGATGTTTTAGAAGTAGCCTGAAGCTCATACTGGTGAAAACATGAAAGATGATTTTCTACATCCAGGTTTATGTTGATTCTTGGACTATTCCTCTCCTCCCAATCTTTGTCTATGGAAATCCTATCCATCTTTCAAAGGGCATTTCAAATGCCACTAACCACTAATCAAACGTTCCTTCTTTCACCTCCAAGTACCCATAACACTTGGTTCTCTTCAAGGGTTCATATCTCACTCTACACTTCTATAGTCAGTTGTGAACTTCTCTTATTCATTCTAGTACACTGAAAACTTATTGAAGGAAGAGATGAACTTCTCTTCAATATATTCCTTCATTACTTAGTAGTACTTGAGTCAAACCAAAAAACCCAAACCTACTGCCATCAAACTGATTCTGATTTATAGTGCTCCTAGAGGACAGAGGGACTGGACATCTTTCTTCAATGGAGCAGCTGGTGGACTTTAACCTCACACCATTCAATTAGCAGCCCAACACTTAACCCAGAGGAAGTACTGTACTAGCATTTCTAACCTTCACATGGGTTGTAATGTATCAACATAGAACTCAAGAGAGAAGGAGGCTACCATTTGTTGAGCAACTATTACATTCCAGAAAATGGACGATGTATCCTATTTCATTTTGTATTTCATTTTGATCTAAATGCAAGGATTTATGTAGTTATAAATAAAAATAATCTGAACGTGCCAGCTAAAATTATACTGTTGTTGTTAAGTGCCATCAAGTCCAACTCATAGCAACCCTGTATAGGATTCTGAGGAGCAGCTGGTGGGTTTGAACTGCTGATCTTGGAGTTAACAGTCCAATACTTACCCTACAGTGCCACACCAGTAGACCAAAATTAAACTAGGAGTTCCTATGAAACTATCATCAGCTGACATTTCTGCACAGATCCTTTTTTTTGAATTGACAGTTGTATAGTTTATTATTCAGAAATGACAAACCCAAGAGGACTAGTGCAGCATTCCTAGAATGAGATGAAACACTCTTACTTAGATAGTCCTGAACTGAGGTAAAGGGAGTTTCTCTGGAGTGGGTTCTGCATTACCTTTGATCTTACAAGAGACAGAAGAAGATCACATGTATTTTGATGTCAAGCATTGTCAAAAACTATGACTGTTAGGCAGTGAAAAATTACAATGCATTTTTTCAAAGAAACATTAACTTGATTTCTATAGTCTCTATAATACTATATGGAATCTGGGTATGGTGCTATGGGTTAGTGCGCTGGACTGCAAAGTCAGTTTGAACCTCAAGGTCGACAGTTCAAGCTGACCAGCTGCTCCTCAGAAACCCTATACAGGGTTGCTGTGGGTTGGAACTGACACTTAACAACAACAATGATACTATATAACATGCAAGGTGTTTTCCATGTCCGTTGCAGTTTGCAATATTCTATGCCATACACTAAAGTAACTCTATTAACTATACTATTTTGTTGTTGTTAAGTGCCATTGAGTTGTTTCTGATTCACAGAGACCGGTATAGGGTTTCCAAGGAGCAGCTGGTGAATTTGAACTGCCGACCTTGTAGATTAAACCAACCTTGTTGTCCTGCAATTACCCTACAGCTCCATACCAGGAGACCACTGTACTATGTAATCAGCATGACTGTCTGAATAGCTTACAATCTATTTTCTGATTGTGCTAGTTAACAGCATGTACATCAATTTCTATTACTGCAACACTATAAAAACAATCTATCATCTGTTGGTAGAATTAGAACTTCAGAATCATTCTAAACCAGCTTCAGTTTTATAGTTTTTCTCATTCTGGAGCTAGTTTCCTTAGGATATTTTGGGTTATAAGCATCCTTCTTTAATAAGATAGATTGCTTTCAGCTGAGAATTCCCCTGCATCGGATGAACATCCCCGCAACACTGATTGGCACATTATTATAACATTCACCGTAGCGTCATATATACTACTAAACTTTAATACTTCAAGTTGTTTTTAATTGTTCCCAATTTTATAAAGTTCCTGGAAGTAAGATTTTAGAAATAAATAGTTATTGGAAAATATAATCTTAAATAAAAATATGTAACTTACCCACAAAGAAATCAGAAATGGCCAAGTTGAGAAAAAAGTAATTACTTCGATGTCTAAGGTTTTTGTCCACCATAAAAGCTAAAATGACCACAGCATTTCCTATCATTATAGCAAAAGCTACTAATGCCATTAAAAATGCTAAAGTTATACAAGCACCTGGCGGGAAACTATTTGTGCAATTAATTTCTGGCATTATATTAAATGATGAAAATCTAATACAGAAGATTACTCCTCCAAGTCAACTCTGGCTAGTATGTTTTCCAATTAATGTTTAAAATACAAAGTTGCCTACTAAAAACATTTTTGGTATCTATTGCTGATCTCAAAGTACTTCCTGATTCTGATAAAGCAAACTTGTGGTAACAGTTTCCCTTTAACTGACACTGAAAAAAATAGTTTCAAAGAAGCAGTGAAATATTTTATTTTATACATTTAAATGGGATTCATCCGTTCCCCACAAATACAAGTAATTATATAACATGTACAAAGCATAATCCATTTTATATTTGTAAGACATGAATCCAAATGATACTTTAAAATATTATAAAACTACTTGTCTGTCAGTTTGTTGTACCATGGTGGTTTGCGTGTTTCTGTGATCCTGGAAGTCATGTCACCAGTATTTTAAATACCAGCAGGGTCTCCCCTGTTGGACAGGCTTCAGCTGAGTTTCCAGACAAAAACAGATTAACAAAGAGAGGCGGACTACTTGTGAATAGCAGAGCAATATTGTCAGACAGGATACCAGGAAATAAAAACATTATGGATAGAACTAGAATGATGTCAGATGTTGTTGTTGTTGTTAAGTGCCGTCGAGTCGGTTCCGACCCATAGCGACCCTGTACAGGGTTTCCGAGGGTGTAAATCTTTACGGGAGTAGAAAGCCTCATCTTTCTCCCGCGGAGCGACTGGTAGTTTCGAACCGCTGACCTTAAGGTTCGCAGTCCGATTCGTAACCACTACGCTAGTGCCTGAATATGAGCTCCTCAGGTTGGAAAGCACTTAAAACCCAACTGGGGCAGAGCTACCTCCTCAAAATAGAATTGAGCATTATGATGTGAATGGAATGAAGCTTTCAGGACCATCATTTGCTGATGGGACACAATTCAAAATGAGGAGAAACAGCTGCATACATCCATTGGAGCATGGACTGTATGAGTATGAATCTAGGAGACGGAAGTTTTAAAAAATGAAATGGAATACATAAAGATAGATACCCAGGGCAATAGTGAGCTGAAATTAACTAGTATTGGCCATTTTGAATCTGACAATCATACAGTTTACTATGCTGGGGATGACAAATTGAAGAAGAATGGTACTGCATTCATCATCAAAAGGAACATTTTGAGATTCATCCTGAGGTACATGATGTCTGTGATAGGATAATATCTATATATCTTCAAGGAAGATCAGTTAATACCACAATTATTTATATTTGTGCACCAACCACAAATGTCAGTGAAGATGAAACTGATTAATTCTACCAACTTCTTCAGTGTGGGTTTAATCAAACATGCAATCAAGGTATATGAATAATTACTGGTGATTGGAAAATAAGCCTTGGTGATAGAAATTATGGTAAAGATCACATGATAGAATTTTGCAAAACCAATGACTTATTGATTGCAAATACCTTTTTTTAAGCAACATAAAAGATGACTATACACATGGACCTCACCAGATGGAATACACAGAAATCTATGGGAAGAGATGGTGGAATAACAAAACAAAACAAGACCATCAATTGTTCATATCAAAGTTCAAACTGAACTGTAACTGATTGGACTTGCTAAAAAGGGAATTAGAATTTGCCCAGAGGGATAGGCTTGTTTTTAAGCCTTTCTAGAGTACAGAACCTTAGGTGGAATCCTGAACCCCACCCAGAACTTTCTGATTGGTATATTTGCATTTGAAAAGACATTGCGGCCCACTTGTTTGAGGACCGGAGGTTTTTACTGAAAGAAAGATCTGAAGTCAAAAGCAAACTGTTTGCCTTTTTGAGTTTCAAGCAAGCTGTTTGCTTTCAAGGCATCAAGGCAAGAAAAGCAGCCCATCAGGGGAAACCCCCTTCTAGGACTGAGAATTAAAAGGAAACTGAGAACAGCCTAGTATGCTCACTGGTGACCACCAGGGTCTACTTGTGAGTGGAAATGGGGGAAATACTGCAATGAAGACAGGGGCTGAGTTTGGATATGTTCCATTGGCAGCTGTTGACCTTGAGATGAGAGAGAGAAGAAGAAAGACTAGTTTGAAGTTTAGGGAGTTGTGTATACTCCTGACCTAAGGCCATGGGCACTGACCTAGCCACTGGGAGCTAGGATTGAGAGTGAAG